AAATAGTGAAAAAGTACAAAATGAGAATTCTGAGAGAAAAGTAAAAATTGTAGGAAAAAAGTTTTTTTTAAAAATCTGATAAAAGTAACATAGGTGGAAATCTAATCTACGAAAAAATGTCCGCACTAAAACTCCACAACTTTGGTCCTCATGAGAATCATTGACACACTGCACAAATATCTGGAAGTTAGAAATTGTCGCATCGTCACACCCTGAGATTAATTATGAAAGTTATTGATATTTAAACGAGTGCATTGCTCCCCCACATAATGCTCAGAAACATTTGATTAGTTCATCAAACGTCCATCAACAAATCATCCATTCATCACGACTCATATCCACACCTGATGAATGTGCATCGTGTAGAGATGGGTTTCCTCCCTAGCAACAATTAAAGAAGTAATATATATAACATTAGGTTGGAGGTGTCTCAATAGAGTTTGAGAAGCTGCTTTAATCAGCGTTTTTATGTTCAGCATAATTTCCATTTGAACCCATTCAACATTTTGTCTATTTGACCATTACATGGTTTTTGCAGAGAATGCTCGGCAAAATCCTGAATCATGTTCCCTAAACATACAGCGCTAATACTGCATGTGTTGTTTTTAAAAACAAAAAATGAGGATGGTTGTCAAAGCCTAAATATTCGGTGATTTAAAAAAGAGAAATGTGTACGTGTGTTCGCTTTAGAAATAAGTAACGGAAAATACAAAGACGCATATTTTTCTGTCACTGGATGAATGAATGCACATTACCTTCATTTCCACACGGTGCTTTAGACGGCCTGGAGCTGATTCAAGTGTTACCTGAGTGATGCAGTATTCTGTAAGAGTACATTTAGGATTTCTAAAGTCAGAGCTTCTGTCCGTATCTTCTTTCCTGACGAGTGGAAAAGCCTCAAACACCAGTGAATCTGAAGGGTCTCTATGAAAACACATTATTTCAAAGAAACGGACTATCTATCTGCAGCTGCTAAAACAACACTTGGTTCAGCGTTAGTCAAACTCTAAAGCACCGTTACCTCTCAGCATTTCTTAATTCTTTCCTCATTGCTCTCTCTTCTGCCTTCTTCTGTTTTCCTTCATTTATTTTCTTGGTATTATTGTCTGTTTGTCTGCCTGCTCAAAGTTTCCGTTCATCTGCACTTTAAACCAGGAAATTAACAGTGACAGCCGCTTCAGCAGGAATAGTTCAATAATCTAAGAAAAATGATTGGCTACTAAAATGGAGAGTTTGGCAAATTAACAAAACGGTGGTGCAAATCTGGCAAAATGTAAGTGGCTGAAGCGTCTGTTAGTTTCCTGTGATCAATTCATCTGTTTGAATGTATTATAAGGTCAACTTCACCCACAAAATGACCATCTGTTTATTCGATGAATAGAACTGTTTGAGAAAAGTCAGAATTGTGAGACCAAAGTAACAATTCTGAGAAAGTCAAAAAAAGTAAAAATTCTTAGAAAGTCAACATTGTGAAAAAAAAATCATGATTCTTACTTTTTAAGGTTTAGAAAAAAAGTCCTAATTCTGACAAAAGTGAGAACAAAATCCAAATTCTTAGAAAGTCAAGAAAAAGTCAGAATTCTGAGAAAAGAGTCAAAATTATTAGAAAGTCTAATAAATCTAAATTCTTAGAAAGTCAAATAAGTAAAAATTCTTAGCAAAAAAAGTAAAAAATTGTGAGAAATAAATAAAAATTCTTCGAAAGTCAAGAAAAAGTCAAAATTGTGAGTAAAAAAATAAATCTAAATTCTTAGAAAGTTGAAAAGTCAGAATTCTGAGAAAATTGTTAGAAAGTAAGAAAAAAAGTCTAAATTGTTAGAACTCTGAGAAAAGGTCAATATTCGAAGGAACATTTTAAAATCATAGTTTTCTCAAATGGGGCTTTCACACCAACGCGGTTCCAGGGCCGGTTCGGAGCTAGAGCCTGAAAAGCACCGTTTGTTCCTGTTCACACCGCAGCTCCGAAACCCGGTTCGTTTCAAGCACCAAAAAATGTTCCACCTAGAAGCAAGAACCGCATATACGTCACACTTATGTTGGAGGCGGGGGCAGGGGCATCAGTTTATGGCGAGTACGGCAAATGAAAGTTGTAACAAGCAGTAGTGCTGAGCAAAGTGACTAGAACGCAACCACACACTTATTAAAAAAACACACTTTCTAAAGTCAGGCAACACTAACCAGGCTTCGTGTGATTCTGTTTATTTGTACCTTACTTTGACCATCCGTCCGCTGTCATTGATCATTGTGGAGAGAGGCAGACGTTTTGTTTTGTATTGTAGCAGCTATCGGATGGAATCAATACATGGGCTGCACAGGTTGTCATGTCCGACTATCACAAGTAGAATCATAATGAAAAATACGCCGGTAAAATGTGCCTGTAGAAAACGGCTTATGCCACAATAGGATAGCAACAAGTAGTCAAGATAGTCAGTTTAGCTTCGGTTGCTATGGTAACATCGCCCATTTTATACCAGAGAAACTTTCGTAACAGCGTTGAGATGCCAAACAGCGAGCAGCACTGCAGCGGTCGGTAAATGCCGCTGAAACACATGAATAAACAATGAACCACGGCACTCTGGAGAAAAGTACAAGGGTTGAGAAGCAGTTATTTAATTTAATCTGGCTTCGGATGATTAAAAGCAACACGATCATCAACCCGACGCCGTTGGGGAGAAAATCAACGACGTAAACGGTGACGCCATGACGCAGCAGCGGCAGCTCCAGTCGGGCTCTGGGCGGTGTGAACAAAACGGGGGCTGAAAAGAAGAACCGGTTCCGAACCAGAAGAGCACAAGAGGAGCTAGAACGGGAACCGCGTTGGTGTGAAAGGGGCAAGAGAGTTCAAATGTGGTGAACGTTGATAAACAAATGGTTCTGTGGGTGAAGATGTCTTTGTTTGTTATCTTTAAACATTCAGCGGCAGAAACAAGAGACGAGACTCACTCTGAGGAGGTGACTGAACATCAGATACAGAAAATACTCCGATCCAAACCCCTCTTTCTTCTGGACTGATATTAAATGTTAAACGCTGAGTCGTGTGTTTGGGGTTGCACAACTACTATTTCCCAAAGCTCCCTAACACATTTGTAATCCCTTTCAATGAGATATTCTGCTGTTATGTGACATCTCCAGCTTTTAGATCAACCCTTATGCTCGAGTAGGGATTAAATCACGAGCACAGACGTTTTAAAAGCTTTCAGGATCATTTCTAGAAATATATAAATGGAGCATATATAAGATTGTTCTCAGTGTTGTGCATCCTCACACACAGTGCCGTGGTTTGTTGTGTACCTGCATCATTACAGTGACTCTTCTCTCTTCTTTCTGCAGTGCACGCTGTGGAAAGTAAGTCCTTCTTTACTTGGAGTTTAAAAAAACAAAATAATCGTATAAATACCTGTCAAGTCCTCCTTGTCCCTGTGCAGGAACCTGTTTATGTACATGTGGTGAAGGTTTGCAATTAGACAATCATTTTGTACATTTAAGTAGAAGATACTTAATAACTTAATACTATATAGAATGAATTGCAATTTGGATAAAATGTATTCTAAATAAACAATAACAGGGGACCTACAGCTTAAAGGAAGTCATATTTCAGTCTACTAAATACATTTTAATTACATTTAAAGACCAATTTTACATGCATTTTTTACGCTATGTTATGTCATCACGCCCAACATTAGCCACCTCTAGCTTAGCGGCGGTGGCGTGAAGTCATGTGACCGTGCTGTAGTTCCTTTATAGCCCAACATAAGCCGCCTTTAGCTTAGCGGTGGTGACGTGAAGTCATGTGACCTTGCTTTAGTTCCTTTATAGCCCAACATTTGCCACCTTTAGCTTAGCGGTGGTGACGTGAAGTCATGTGACCGTGCTGTAGTTCCTTTATAGCCCAACATTAGCCTCCTTTAGCTTAGCGGTGGTGACGTGAAGTCATGTGACCGTGCTGTAGTTCCTTTATAGCCCAACATTAGCCTCCTTTAGCTTAGCGGTGGTGACGTGAAGTCATGTGACCGTGCTGTAGTTCCTTTATAGCCCAACATTAGCCTCCTTTAGCTTAGCGGTGGTGACGTGAGGTCATGTGACCGTGCTGTAGTTCCTTTATAGCCCAACATTAGCCGCCTTTAGCTTAGCGGTATTGACGTGAAGTCATGTGACCGTGCTGTAGTTCCTTTATAGCCCAACATTAGCCGCCTTTAGCTTAGCGGTGGTGACGTGAAGTCATGTGACCTTGCTTTAGTTCCTTTATAGCCCAACATTTGCCACCTTTAGCTTAGCGGTGGTGACGTGAAGTCATGTGACCGTGCTGTAGCTCCTTTATAGCCCAACATAAGCCGCCTTTAGCTTAGCGGTGGTGACGTGAAGTCATGTGACCGTGCTGTAGTTCCTTTATAGCCCAACATTAGCCTCCTTTAGCTTAGCGGTGGTGACGTGAGGTCATGTGACCGTGCTGTAGTTCCTTTATAGCCCAACATTAGCCTCCTTTAGCTTAGCGGTGGTGACGTGAAGTCATGTGACCGTGCTGTAGTTCCTTTATAGCCCAACATTAGCCTCCTTTAGCTTAGCGGTGGTGACGTGAGGTCATGTGACCGTGCTGTAGTTCCTTTATAGCCCAACATTAGCCGCCTTTAGCTTAGCGGTATTGACGTGAAGTCATGTGACCGTGCTGTAGTTCCTTTATAGCCCAACATTAGCCGCCTTTAGCTTAGCGGTGGTGACGTGAAGTCATGTGACCTTGCTTTAGTTCCTTTATAGCCCAACATTTGCCACCTTTAGCTTAGCGGTGGTGACGTGAAGTCATGTGACCGTGCTGTAGCTCCTTTATAGCCCAACATAAGCCGCCTTTAGCTTAGCGGTGGTGACGTGAAGTCATGTGACCTTGCTTTAGTTCCTTTATAGCCCAACATTTGCCACCTTTAGCTTAGCGGTGGTGACGTGAGGTCATGTGACCGTGCTGTAGTTCCTTTATAGCCCAACATTAGCCTCCTTTAGCTTAGCGGTGGTGACGTGAAGTCATGTGACCGTGCTGTAGCTCCTTTATAGCCCAACATTAGCCTCCTTTAGCTTAGCGGTGGTGACGTGAGGTCATGTGACCGTGCTGTAGTTCCTTTATAGCCCAACATTAGCCTCCTTTAGCTTAGCGGTGGTGACGTGAAGTCATGTGACCGTGCTGTAGCTCCTTTATAGCCCAACATAAGCCGCCTTTAGCTTAGCGGTGGTGACGTGAAGTCATGTGACCTTGCTTTAGTTCCTTTATAGCCCAACATTTGCCACCTTTAGCTTAGCGGTGGTGACGTGAAGTCATGTGACCGTGCTGTAGTTCCTTTATAGCCCAACATTAGCCTCCTTTAGCTTAGCGGTGGTGACGTGAAGTCATGTGACCGTGCTGTAGTTCCTTTATAGCCCAACATTAGCCTCCTTTAGCTTAGCGGTGGTGACGTGAAGTCATGTGACCGTGCTGTAGTTCCTTTATAGCCCAACATTAGCCTCCTTTAGCTTAGCGGTGGTGACGTGAGGTCATGTGACCGTGCTGTAGTTCCTTTATAGCCCAACATTAGCCGCCTTTAGCTTAGCGGTATTGACGTGAAGTCATGTGACCGTGCTGTAGTTCCTTTATAGCCCAACATTAGCCGCCTTTAGCTTAGCGGTGGTGACGTGAAGTCATGTGACCGTGCTGTAGTTCCTTTATAGCCCAACATTAGCCTCCTTTAGCTTAGCGGTGGTGACGTGAAGTCATGTGACCGTGCTGTAGTTCCTTTATAGCCCAACATTAGCCTCCTTTAGCTTAGCGGTGGTGACGTGAGGTCATGTGACCGTGCTGTAGTTCCTTTATAGCCCAACATTAGCCGCCTTTAGCTTAGCGGTATTGACGTGAAGTCATGTGACCGTGCTGTAGTTCCTTTATAGCCCAACATTAGCCTCCTCTAGCTTAGCGGTGGTGACGTGAAGTCATGTGACCGTGCTGTAGTTCCTTTATAGCCCAACATTAGCCTCCTTTAGCTTAGCGGTGGTGACGTGAAGTCATGTGACCGTGCTGTAGTTCCTTTATAGCTCAACATTAGCCGCCTTTAGCTTAGCGGTGGTGACGTGAAGTCATGTGACCGTGCTGTAGTTCCTTTATAGCTCAACATTAGCCTCCTTTAGCTTAGCGGTTGTAACTAAATACCTCCTGATGTTTATAAACAAAAATGAGGAGATTTAAGGGAGGTCAGAGCCTCAGATGCAGTGCTAACTAACCTCTCTGTGTCTTTTATCTTTAAACTAATCACTCTGAGGAGCTGCATCTCTCACACACTGATCAATAACTCCCTTTTCTGTACTGAATGTGTATTTAAAGTATTTGTAATTAACACATTTCCCCGGGCGCCGTACATAATGCTCCTAACATTAGGATGGGTCAAATGCAGAATGTACACTTCCTCTCTGTGGGTCGATTAAGGGTTTCTCCTTCTCTTCTAACGGAGTGTTGTTTTCTTTGTGTTTGCAGTTCACGACCTGCAGAGTTTCGGCTTAGACAACGTAAGTGACTCTGTTTAAAGTGACTGCAGCTCAGATGAAATGCAGAACAGCAACTAATGATTTTTTAGATAAACCTATTAAGTGTTTTTTTTAATAAATGTAAGAAAATAGTGTGATTTTCAGTCTCAAAAGTTCAACACGATGTCTTTAGATTCTTCATTTGTCAGTCCTAAAGTCCATATTCATTTTTATGATATAAAAAAACAGGATTTTATTACTTAAACATTTTCTTCATGCCATTTTTGCACGAAAAATTACTTTACGGTTTAAATATATATTGAAAAAAATACTTTTCTTAGGTTAATTATTATCATTTGGTAGTTTGAATACATTGTGACTCAGAACTTTATTCGACAGATTGTAATGATTTAAATGGTAGATAGTAACACTATACAGTGGAGGAAATACATTTGATCTCTTGCCGATTTTGTAAGTTTACCCACTTCCAAATAAATGAACAGTCTGTCATTTTAATGTCAGGTTTATTCGACTAATGAGAGAGAGAGAATATCAAAAGGAAAATCCACAGTTCAATGCAAATCTATTTTATATAATGTACATTTCTGGATTTCCTTTTTGATATTCTTTCTCTCACTGTTTAAATAAACCTAGCATTAAAATTACAGACTGGTCATTTCTGTAAGTGGGCAAACTAACTAAATCTGCAGGGGATCAAATACTTATTTTTAAACACCAACTTAAATGTTCTTTTAGTCTTTATTATATAGGTCTGAAAAGATGTTACACGTTTCAATAGCAATATTTCTTTTTACGTTGTTTTTTTAATATTTTAATCGTTTCACCTTTATTAGAATTATGGCATTTTATTACTATTATCTTTTTATTTGTATTTCTGTTGTTCCTACATGTTCACTTTGTTGAGGGGTTTTATGTTATATTGTTGCATCGACTCAGTCGTCTTGTGTCTTATCTGTCCGAGAGAAACCATTATTTATTAACCTGTTAAAATGTTATATTTTTCTGCATGTACCTTTTAAAGTTCTCAACAAATAATCTGAGGGGAATTTGTTGTTGTTTGTTTTTGACTTGTGATGTGTCATTTCGTAAAGCACTTCGAGCTGCATGTGTTGTATGGAAAGTGCTGTATAAATAAAGCTTTATTGTTATTCATTCCTCCACTGTATATAAACGACCTGATTGTTGCTGTTAATAATTCCTCTCTTCCTTCCTGCAGATAAACATGACCCACCTGATAAAACACCTCTCGTTCGGGAAAGATTACCCCGGCATCGTGAACCCTCTGGACGACACGGACGTCAACGCACCTCAAGGTCAGACACTTCACATTTAACTGTTTCAATATAATGTTAGCGGGAACAACCAGAGGTGGGAAGCAGTGGAGTAGAAATACTTCGTTAATGTACTTAAGTACATTTTTCTGGTATCAGTAGTTTACTACACTACTTATTTTCCTGACGACTTTTTACTTTGACTTCTTACATGTTGAACTCAAATACCTGTACTTTCTACTTCTTACATGTTGAACACAAATACCTGTACTTTCTACTTCTTACATGTTGAACCCAAATACCTGTACTTTCTACTTCTTACATGTTGAACTCAAATACCTGTACTTTCTACTTCTTACATGTTGAACTCAAATACCTGTACTTTCTACTTCTTACATGTTGAACCCAAATACCTGTACTTTCTACTTCTTACATGTTGAACCCAAATACCTGTACTTTCTACTTCTTACATGTTGAACCCAAATACCTGTACTTTCTACTTCTTACATGTTGAACTCAAATACCTGTACTTTCTACTTCTTACATGTTGAACTCAAATACCTGTACTTTCTACTTCTCTCATTTTCCAAACAGCTGGTTCCTTTAGTCTGAATGTGTGTTTGATGCGTGATCATTATTCTTTAGAGTCATTGCGTGCCTATTGATTTGAACACGATCCGTGTATCCATCATTTCCTGGTCTTCTCTAAAGAAGAGGGACCAATGGAAACGTTGTCATGTTGCCGTTGTTCAGCATGGAAACATTCATTAGCTAACAATGACATTATTGTTCTATTAATATAAAGGGAGGTCAGGTACTCTTTAAAGCAGCTGCTAGTTATGGGTACTTTTTACTGAAGTACATTTCAAAGTTCTTTACTTTTACTTGAGTAAAGAAGTTTAGTCAGTACTTCTACTTTCACCAGAGTATCTTTAAATGCAAGTATCTGTACTTCTACTTGAGTAAAGGATGTGTGTACTTTGGCCTTCTCTGGGTCCAACAAATAGGGGAACGTGTAACACTGTAACTTTTCTTGAAAAATAATGCATCATTTTGCACCAAATCGGACCATTTCATCTTTACTACGCCACGTTAAAATGTCAGAGCTGCTGATCAGGTGTAATTATAACCAGGTTTCAGAGGTGGGAGAAGTACTCAAATCGTGTACCTGAGTAAAAGTAGAAGTACTCAGATCTTGTTCTTGAGTAAAAGTAGAAGTACTCAGATCTTGTTCTTGAGTAAAAGTAGAAGTACTCAGATCTTGTACTTCAGTAAAAGTAGAAGTACTCAGATCTTGTTCTTGAGTGAAAGTAGAAGTACTCAGATATTGTTCTTGAGTAAAAGTAGAAGTACTCAGATCTTGTACTTCAGTAAAAGTAGAAGTACTCAGATCTTGTTCTTGAGTAAAAGTAGAAGTACTCAGATCTTGTTCTTGAGTAAAAGTAGAAGTACTCAGATCTTGTACTTCAGTAAAAGTAGAAGTACTCAGATCTTGTTCTTGAGTGAAAGTAGAAGTACTCAGATATTGTTCTTGAGTAAAAGTAGAAGTACTCAGATCTTGTACTTCAGTAAAAGTAGCAGTACTCAGATCTTGTTCTTGAGTGAAAGTAGAAGTACTCAGATCTTGTTCTTGAGTAAAAGTAGAAGTACTCAAATCGTGTACCTGAGTAAAAGTAGAAGTACTCAGATCTTGTACTTCAGTAAAAGTAGCAGTACTCAGATCTTGTACTTGAGTAAAAGTAGAAGTACTCAGATATTGTTCTTGAGTAAAAGTAGAAGTACTCAGATCTTGTACTTCAGTAAAAGTAGAAGTACTCAGATCTTGTTCTTGAGTGAAAGTAGAAGTACTCAGATCTTGTTCTTGAGTAAAAGTACTCAGATCTTGTTCTTGAGTAAAAGTAGAAGTACTCAGATCTTGTACTTCAGTAAAAGTAGAAGTACTCAGATCTTGTTCTTGAGTGAAAGTAGAAGTACTCAGATCTTGTTCTTGAGTAAAAGTACTCAGATCTTGTTCTTGAGTAAAAGTAGAAGTACTCAGATCTTGTACTTGAGTAAAAGTAGAAGTACTCAGATCTTGTACTTGAGTAAAAGTAGAAGTACTCAGATCTTGTACTTGAGTAAAAGTAGAAGTACTCAAATCGTGTACCTGAGTAAAAGTAGAAGTACTCAGATCTTGTTCTTGAGTAAAAGTAGAAGTACTCAGATCTTGTTCTTGAGTAAAAGTAGAAGTACTCAGATCTTGTACTTCAGTAAAAGTAGAAGTACTCAGATCTTGTTCTTGAGTGAAAGTAGAAGTACTCAGATATTGTTCTTGAGTAAAAGTAGAAGTACTCAGATCTTGTACTTCAGTAAAAGTAGCAGTACTCAGATCTTGTTCTTGAGTGAAAGTAGAAGTACTCAGATCTTGTTCTTGAGTAAAAGTAGCAGTACTCAGATCTTGTACTTGAGTAAAAGTAGAAGTACCAGAGTGTAGGAATACTCTGTTACAGTAAAAGTCCTGCATTCAAAATGTTCCTCAAGTGAAAGTAGAAAAGTATTCTCATCAAAATATAGTGAAAGTAGCGACAGTAAAAGTAGTCGTGCAGATTGGTCCATTTCAGAATAATATATATGATATGTTTCAGTGTTTCCCACAGATATGAAATATACTTGGGCGGGTGGTGGCAAGGGGGGGGGGGGTGCGCGAAAAAAAAAAAAAGTTTTAACAACATTATTTATTGACTTTTCATTCCGGTATAATCATTTTGCGCAAAGACGGCACTGTTTGTCAGAGCACTTCATCCTTCTGGGATTTCATGAAGAACAGCTCCAACGCCTGTGTGTATGGGAATGCCTCTGGTGCTGGTCCATTAACTGCCAGTGTTTCCCACAGATCTGAAATATACTTTGGGGGGGTGGTGGTAGCGGGGGGGGGGTTGAGGTGACGTGCAACAACATTAACCTTTCTGTTGGTCGCTTGTTAGCAGACCCTTCACGCGATGGCAGAGCGAACAGGTACAGGTACAGGCAGGGTCCATAATGATAGCCCTATAGTTTAAATCTACTACCCACACATGAACATATGGAAATGGGTTACTATTTAAAAAAATAAATGTATTTATTAATGTATTTAGGAACCTATCCATGTGATTTTTAGTGGGGGTCGACCTCAAATCCTCTAGGGGGGTCCAGGGGCATGCCCCCCCGGTAAGATTTAATTTTTTATTTTGGAGTTAAATGCATCAATCTGGTGCATTTTGAGGGGGAAATAAAGAGACTAGATCTATGGAAACACCTATATTAAACAGAACTGTATACATTTCAATAATCATAAAATCAAGGCCATAACCAATAACCTACCATATCCAATATGAAAAAAACACTGAAACTTGTTAATTTATTTAGTTTTGGTTCATTTATAGTTGTGAGTGTGTCTGTGCTCCTGAATCAGCCTCTCCTGTCTCCCCCCTCTCCATCCTCTCCCCCTGCTCCTCTTTGAGGCAGCAGCAAAGACTAGTTTTCTCTCAAAAGTGTATCTTACCTTTTTTCACCTAGTTAACTTTTTATTTATTTATTCATGCTTATTTTACTAATCACATTACATTTCATTTAGCTGACGCTTTTATCCAAAGCGACTTATAATGACCGATTACAGGGACATTCTCCCTGGAGTAACTAAGGGCTAAGTGCCTTACTCAAGGGCACACTAGTGGTGGTGTTCCTGGCGGGATTTGAACTCACAGCCTTCCGATCTTCAGCCCACCTCACTCTCCATTAGACCAATCACTACCCTCTCTAATGGAAATATGTGTTTACATAAATGGTGACCACACCGTTTGAGACCCACTGAGAACTTAGACTAAGTTAACTATCTAAACCCTCAGAGAGTCCTTTACCTCACCTGAGCTGAGGTTATCCCGAGCTTGAATGACACACAGAGACCAATCAAGGGCTTTGATTTATGATCTGTATGACAGTGGCCATGTCGGCAGGCCACATCATGTGGACAGCCAGTCACCCTGTGTGAGGCAGGCCACTTAACAGGCCAGAAGGAGGCGAGATCAGAGCAAGGGAGCGAGGGATCATTGTCTACAAGTTAATCGATCGCAGATGGCGTCGTGGTCACGGACGAATAAAAAAAATTTTTTATCAAAAAAACCTAAAACTAAATGGGTCGCGAAATATACTTGGGCGGCCGTTAATATACCTGGGCGGCCCGCCCAGGTATAGTCTATGTGTGGGAAACCCTGTGTTTTATAATGATTGATCATGAAAGTGTTCTCAAAGCTGGTGAAGGAGCAGCTAGTTTGAATGGCTTTGTATACTGCAGGGTAGCTGGTGGATTTACTCCAGGTGGAACTAAAGTCTGATTCAACACTTGATTAGATTTCACATCATTCATCCACATCTGTGAAGTAACTAAAGGGATTAAATACATGTAGTGGAGGAAAAGTACACCATGTACCTCTGAAGAGTAGAGGAGGAGAAGTACACAGTAGCATAAAATGGAAATGTACAAGTATCTCAAAATTGTACTTGAGTAAATGTACTCAGTTATTTTACACCTCTGTCAGGTTGTGGCGTGATACAAAATATTCTTTCATACAGATGTTCATTTTAAATCCCCCTTCCTTCTAATATTACAATATCATATATGCTGTTTGATGTCGGTACATTAAGAGCATCAGAACACATCGTTTGACGAATCGGAACTTTTATTGACAAAAACTGGACTGTCGTAGAGAGAGCACGTAGTTATTTGAAAAGTCCCATAGCTGTATAAGAGTGTGGTGGAGGTGGCTCCTCCTCCACTCTCTCAGCAGCGTATTCCCATCCCGATGGACATGAAGGTGCCGAACGTCCCGCCGCTTTGCATCATGGTCTTTCCCACGCCTCCCATCAGCTCCCTGCCACGCATCCCAATCCTGGAGGCACACAAGACACATTTAGATTTTTTTTAACATCGTTTTTCAGCCTCAAAATGTTTTTTTACAATTCTTTATTTAGAAGACAGTTGAGAACATGTCACCAGTTACAATGGAATGTGCTTGCAGCTGCGCAATGTGTTTCTACCCAGTTAGTTATAGTGCTTTGTATAACATATGTTGGGTGCAGAGTTACCGGAGACAGGAGACAGTGCCGACCATTCGTTAGAAATGTAATTATACTTTGGGTTAAGGATTTTTCATTTGTCTAATTAGCCAGTTCTATGGGACACTTTGGACATCTTTAAAGTATTGGACCATAACAGCTGGGATTAAATGAAGTCTAGAGTTTACCCAGGTGCAGTTATATTGTTTCTACCCGGGTGCCATTATAGGTTTTTTTATATAATCTTTTGAGTTCAGAGTTACCTGAGACTATTATAATTATACTTTGGGTTAAGGATTTTTCATTTGTCTAATTAGCCAGTTCTATGGGACACTTTAGACATCTTTAAAGTATTGGACCACAACAGCTGGGATTAAACAAAGTCCACATTCTAGATATGTCCCCCAGGTGCAGTTATAGCAACATCTTTTGGGTGTAAAGTGAGCGCAGCGTTACCTGAGACAGGAGAAAGTGCCGAACATGGCTCCAGCAGCCATTCCCACGGCGAAGCCCATCATGAAGCCCATTTTCACCCGATCGAAGCAGTTGGGCTGCGTCTGTCCGTACGAACCGACAGCCACCGGCATCTGGAGGGTAAAGAGAGACGGGTTGATATCCAATTGATTCACGGCTTTATCGTCATGTGCTCAGCAGCTACAGTTTAGATATGGTGATGAAAAACTGAAGTCTCAGGCTCCTCTAACAGAGCAACATGAATATGAGATACTTTCCCCGACTAAATAAGCCTTTACGCAGCGTTCTCTTTAAGCGTCAAACCAGCAGAGAATGAGTCGGAGTTCTCCGTTTTGTTGTTGTAATATTTGGGTTCTGATCTGACATTTAAAGTCATCAACTTGGACAGTTTTCACGATTTACATTTTAAGACTAAACAATTATTCTAGAAAATACTCCATAAAGAAAGTAAACGTTGGTTGCAGCACTGACACAGGAAACTGTTCAATAAAACCAGTTTAAGATCCAGTTATGCAGCTTTAAAAAAACTGGCAGCAAGATGTTGATGAAGATGAGGTGGAAGAAATACTCAGATTTGTAGCAATACTACATTTAAAAAGTACTTTGTTACAAGTAAAAGTCCTGCATTGAAAATCTCACTTAAGTACAAAAGTGTTGTCGTCAAAATATACTTAAAGTACTCATTCTGTGTAATGGCCCATTTCAAAATCATATATATATATAGTGTTTTTATCACAACTGGTAAAGGTGGAGCTAATTTGAATAACTTGATATACTGCTGCTGGATATTTTTAACCTATCATTATATGTCATAGTTTATGTATTAGTTATAAAACAATAATACTAACCCTAAAGGTAACTAGTAACTGAAGCTAGTATTGGTTTCTGAAATATAGTGGAGTAGAGTGTAACTGTACTTAGTTACTTGACCTTTCCATCTAGCTTGCTATGAGTACATTATGAAATACATAACCAGTACATATTGGACACTGGTTGATACTTGAACAGAAAACCCTACTAGCTGCTAACTGTGTCTTAAACCCAGACATTAAGGAGTTAATCAGTTGTTCTAACTCAGGTTAATGATTGGTTAGGTAATCACTGTTATTGCATTAGCTAGAGAGCTAACGTTAGCCAGCACCTGTTTTTAACATTTAGCATTAAAAACAACCAACACATTGTTCACTGCAGTCCGTAAACATTTGATAAAATACAATACAATATGTGATATTGTTTATTTTGTAAAGTTCACTCTTAATCCCCACAGAGTGTGTTGTGTTAGCTTAGCATGCTAACCGACATGCTAACGTCTCCTGTGGCCTTGACAGTTAAACACGCGTGTTTTTATCACTAAATATCTCCGTGAATCCACCTTACCTTGGACTATGAGTGTGAAATGTGTTTGTTTGTCTGGATCTTGACTGCAGGACGGTCGAGGGTTTGATGCTGCGGGGTTTAAATGTCTTTTAGCAAACCTCCATTACCGGATAGAGAAGAGAGAGAGGAGGAGGAGTAGAGAGAGGGGGATAATGTGGAGGAGAAAAGAAACAGCGCCACCGGTGGTTCACGTTAGTACTGCTGCTAGTGAGGTTTTTAACCATTGTGCCATAGATACAAAATACTTTATTTATATCTACAGAAACATACTATAGACCAGGGGTGCCCAACCTTTTTTGAACCGAGAGCTACTTTTAAAGTTGCCAGTCTGCCGAGATCTACCAGTCCAAATAGAGAGGCGTAGCCATTACTGACAGCCTCCTACCAGGAAAATACACACTTCTACTTGTATAAAACTGACCTTTGTACGATTAATACTTCATAAAATACTGCAGATCCTTTATCTTACCTCTTTCTAATCTACACACATACAAGTATTTAACTGAAGTTACACAACAGTGTTGTTGATACAGAGTTGGAGTTTATTCACACGTCACTACAGTGGTTAATGTTTTCAAGAAACATTGAACAGTGCTGCCACATATGACACAGGACAAAAAGAAAAGACTCTGAACCCTTTCTTTGCCATTATATAAAAATAGTGTTGCTACAAAAGTATAAATGAGGCTTCCTAATAAGACAACTCAGATCTGAAGCTACTCAGGAATCTGCTGCTAAAGTGCAATAAAAAAGACAAAATTAATAGAATCAAACCCTTTTTTTGTTAGATTTTATTAGAGTATAAAAATAAATGCCTTTAAAATAGGATGCAAGCAACACTAGTTTCTTAACCTGAATTGATAATAGACTATAATCAATTTAAGTTTTGTACAATAATTATAATGAATAAGTTCAAACAAACTAAAACTTACAGCAGATTAATAACGGTATCTAACTTGAGTTTTCATTATATCAAAAACCTGTTGAAATGCTACTGTTATTTTTACTGTCCCCAAAAAGCTCATCGGCAGCCTCCATGAATGCTTCTTTCACAACTTTGCCGTCTCTGAAAGACTTCATGTGTTTCTCCAGAACGTGACTGACACGATAAGATGCTCTGGTAGCAGCCTTGCTCTTGTTGTTGGGCCTGGTGGAAATGGACTGCTGTGCATTTAGCTGTCCTCTCAGGCCCCTCCCCTTTTGGAGCGTTGGGCAGAATTAGGAGGGAGTTCCGTCTCGTAGCGTTTGTGCACTGTTTTGAAATGCCGCTCCTAAATTACCCTTCTTCGATAAAGCCACGCTCGCATTGCAGATGAGACAGATGGACTTTGAATTGGAATAGATACAAAAATAATCATCCTCCCACTCGGAGTGAGAATTATATATGTTTTGCTTCTGCCATAATTGCGGTCTTGTGTGTGTGCGGACTGTCACTCCTGTTGACACGGACAACGTTAGCGAACTAGTGCACACTGCCCACTGCTCACCAGCCACGCCGGCCAGCCACACATGGGGTCACGCCGGCCAATCACAAAGCTTTGATGCGTTCAAGTGCATTATTCTGGCACAGGAAGATTATGTTACAGGACATTAATTTAACGATAAAACAGAATATTGTTGTTCTATTTTTAGACACATCTCGCGATCGACTGGGAATCTCCCCGCGATCGACCGGTCGATCGCGATCGACTGGTTGGGCACCCCTGCTATAGACAGATAGTGGCATTGGATTGAATATATATTATAATTGTGCAAATAGTTCTGGGTTATAGAAAAGGAGACACTTTACACGCCAGTGATTTGTTGTACAGGTTATTGCAGTTTGCAGGTTTTCCTCTTGGAATGTTTACCCCATTAAATCAATGTAATTAAATGAATCATCTTGGCTGATGATATTATAGACTTTTCCGAATTTATCGAATTTGACTTTTCTCAGAATTTTGACTTTTGTCTCAGAATCTTTTTTTTTTTTTTACAAATGTATACTTTTTCTCAGAATTTCGATATTCTATGAATTTGGACTTTTTCTCATAATTTCGTCTTTTTACAGAATCTTTCGATTTGTACAATATTTTTGACTTTTTCAGAATTTTTCTCAGAATTTCAACGTTTTTACAGAATTTTGACTTTTTCTCAGAATTTCAACTTACTATGAATTTTGACTTTTTCTCAGAACATTTTGATATTTCACAAATGTCTATATGTAAACAAGCTTGCATTTATTGCATTAAAACTCTATAAATGTACCAATATTTAGTAGTTATGATCAAGAGTGAAGCTTGTTTGTCATCCAGTGGGACGGGTTAATAAATAAACCAATTAAAAAGTCTATTTTAAGCCATCTCCAGTTTGGAAGAAATATTTTTTTATCTAAAAGTATGTCCATCCATCTTCTACCTGTTATCCGTGGTCGGGACCCCAAACTTCCCTTCCCCTGACATTTGACATCACTCTGTTCGCTTTTGATGCCTTCAAAATATATTTACAACCTACTGCTCTCCCTTGTGTTGTGTGTGTCTGCATTCGTATTTTAACAATCATTCCCTTTCCTCTCCCCACAGCATCAATGATGTACCAGTATTTTGTGAAAATCGTCCCTACCATCTACGTAAAAACTGACGGAGAGGTGAGTTCATTTTACTTTCTTTCCGTATATAATTCCTCTTTTTATTCAAACCCCATCAAACCAGGCAGCTAGACCGGTGGACTTTAATTCATCATTTAAAACGAAAACACATGTATCCATTATTTGTATTTAAATAATGTTGGTGCTATAAACTAAAACGTGATTTGTGTATCCTTTTTTCTGTTTGTGATATTATCTTTAAAACGTTATTTATCATTAAAATGAGACTTAAAATAATAGGTTTTCCGCCATAATTTGTTGTTGTTGTACTCAATTGAATCTAATGTTTAATTTAAAGCTGTATGAGGCAACAATTTATAAGTTAAGACATTTACAAAATGGAGAGGCTAACATCATCTGGAACTGTTTGTGTCACGATGGAGAAAGTGGACTGATTTCGTAAAACCTCATAGTCCAGATTTCCTTTTTACAAACGTTTGATTTTACTGTGAAGTCCCGATCGCTCCCTAATGCTCATATTGTTCGTACGCATTTCGGACCGACAAACTTAACATGTACAATTACTATGTCTTAAAAACACTGTAATTGTTTGCTGCCAAATGTCAAAACAAAATATATTACAAAAGTATTTATAACCTGCTATCCTTCTCCCCTTCCTATAATAGTGTTGTGTTGTCTTTTTGTTTTCCTGCAGGTGGTTAAAACAAACCAGTTCTCCGTCACCAGACACGAGAAAGTGGCCAACGGGCTGATAGGAGACCAGGGGCTGCCGGGCGTCTTTGTTTTATACGAACTGTCACCTATGATGGTTAAATTCACAGAGAAACACAGGTAGGAGAAATAGAATAGAATCCTTTATTGTCAGTGTGTTGAGTAAAAGTAGAAGTACTCAGATCTTGTACTTGAGTAAAAGTAGAAGCACTCAGATCTTATACTTGAGTAAAAGTAGAAGTACTCAGATCTTGTACTTGAGTAAAAGTAGAAGTACTCAGATCTTGTACTTCAGTAAAAGTAGAAGCACTCAGATCTTGTACTTGAGTAAAAGTAGAAGTACTCAGATCTTGTACTTGAGTAAAAGTAGAAGCACTCAGATCTTGTACTTGAGTAAAAGTAGAAGTACTCAGATCTTATACTTGAGTAAAAGTAGAAGTACTCAGATCTTGTACTTGAGTAAAAGTAGAAGTACTCAGATCTTGTACTTGAGTAAAAGTAGAAGCACTCAGATCTTGTACTTGAGTAAAAGTAGAAGTACTCAGATCTTATACTTGAGTAAAAGTAGAAGTACTCAGAACTTGTACTTGAGTTAAAGTAGAAGTACTCAGATCTTGTACTTGAGTAAAAGTAGAAGCACTCAGATCTTGTACTTGAGTAAAAGTAGAAGTACTCAGATCTTATACCTGAGTAAAAGTAGAAGTACTCAGATCTTGTACTTGAGTAGCGGCTCGATTTCCACTTCAGTTTGAGTCGCCGAGAGGTTGGTTTTATGCTGCGACGTATTTCAAAGAGAACTAGAAAATGTATTTCTTGCAGAAAATGCGTGCGAATGCTGTAAACTGTGAACATTTATGGCTGAATTTAGCTGAAATTGCAGAAAAAGCTGAATGTGTTATTAGCTGAATGGTAGCTGCTTTTAGCTACAAAAATGCAGAAAAAGCTTAATATTTTATATTATTGATGTCCTGAAATAGCTAAATAATGTAATAGTTGAATGGGTTATGCAGCTGAAAATAGGCTGAAGGAGTTAAATATCAGATGTAAGTAGTAGTGAATGAATTTGTATTAAGATGAGAAAAGAAAGTAAAAAGGCTTGGGAAAGCAGAAGAATATTTGAACTGCAAACTTTTGAACTAACTTGATGGTGAATGATCTGTCACCATGCCAACAGCATTTGATGACACCCCATAATACGATTAGATGCGTTGATGGCTGCATCGTTACCAGACCTGGGAAGTTTTGGGCTGTTTGGAGTATTTTCACTGAAGTTATGAGAAAACCGTGTTTCATGGCGAGCATTGTGTTGCCATGCCAACGGCATTTGAAGAATTCTCAAAACTGTCACGTAGATGTCTTCACGGCTGCACTGTTAGCACACATGTGAAGTTTGAGCACTCTTTGAACATTTGCATAGGAGTTATAGTGACATCATATTTTATGGCGAGGGATATGGTGAGATCTCAGATTTGGCGTAGAGCTGTTGAGGCATGGACCGGTGATATACAAGTGAAGATTGGGGGACGATTGGACCGTGTCCATTGGACTTATAGCGACATCATGTTTTATGGCGAGGGATGCGTTTCCATGGAAACGGCATATGGTGAGATCTCAGATTTGGCGTAGAGCTGTTGAGGCATGGACCGGTGATATACAAGTGAAGATTGGGGGACGATTGGACAGTGTCGATTGGACTTACAGCCTCATCGTGTTTCATGGCGAGTGGTCTGTCGCCATGGCAACGGCATTTGATGACACCCCACACTACGCTTAGATGCATTGATGGCTGCATCGTTATCAAACCTGTGAAGTTCTGGGCTGTTTGGATTATTTTCACTGAAGCTATGAGAAAACCGTGTTTCAAGGCGAGCATTGTGTTGCCATGGCAACGGCATTTAAAAAAATCTCAAGGAGGAGGTTTTCCTACGTTTTTCATGAACACATATGTCTGAGGAGTGTAGGGTTTGGGAATTATGTCAAGTTTAAAATATTTTTGGGGAGAATTTCAAGCACTGCTCCACTGTGTTTTGAGATCAAAGCACTCTAGACTTAACGAGCTGCTCCATCCACTCTAATGTTAAAATCTGAAAAAGGCCTCTCTACCAAGCTCCAAACTAAATTCAATATCTCAAAAAGTTTAAAAGATATCAAAAAGAAAAGTCAAGTTTTAATAGCTGAAGGTCTTGTGAAAGTTGGAATGAAGTGTCTGGCTGAAAGTATGTGGAAGGAGATGCATTTGGCGCAAGGTGTAGGAAAACAGGATTTGAAGGCATCTCCCATTGACTTCAATGTTAAAAAAAGAGTTTAAAAAGCTGAATATTTCAAAAGGTATGAAATATTTTGAAAAAGTTGAAGGTTTCCCATCGATTCCTGAACAGGCTGAATAGTTTAATATTTGAATGGTTTCTGTAGCTGAAAATAAGCTGAAGTTATGGAGAGCCAAAGTATTGGCTGAAATAATAAGTTTAAGGGGAAGAATAAAGATTTGAAGAACTATAGTGGAATGCTGTAAACAGCATTCGCACTAAATACTGAAGTGAGACAAAACACAATAACTATAGCGACATAAATACACAAAACACACACATGTGACCACTAACAGAAGTGCTCAACAAATACAAATAAAAGTGACGTAAACAAATAATAAACTCAGGCTAGGTAGCATTTTGGCTCCTACAGTCATTATACAGGTACAAAGAGATGAGTAGAGATACCTGTACAACATACAAACAACAAGCATTCATACTTCAATATGCAGATAAAAACAGAGCGCTGAGTGTTTCCTGGTAGAGAGGTGCGGGAACGAGTCCTAAATGCTAACCTCATTGATCGCCCTATAATCTCCTGCACCATCCTTTTGTTTTGGTTTGTGTCCACTGATGTCAGGGTTTACACGTCTATGTTGAAAATGGGAAATACACTACATACTGATATACACCTGAACATCAGCAGGAGAGGACTCTTTAAAGTAGAGACACTTCATACTGATATACACCTGAACAACAGCAGGAGAGGACTCTTTAAAGTAGAGACACTACATACTGATATACACCTGAACATCAGCAGGAGAGGACTCTTTAAAGTAGAGACACTACATACTGATATACACCTGAAACATCAGCAGGAGAGAACTCTTTAAAGTAGAGACACTACATACTGATATACACCTGAACATCAGCAGGAGAGGACTGTTTAAAGTAGAGACACTTCATACTGATATACACCAGAACATCAGCAGGAGAGGACTCTTTAAAGTAGAGACACTACATACTGATATACACCTGAACATCAGCAGGAGAGAAACTCTTTAAAGTAGAGACACTACATACTGATATACACCTGAACATCAGCAGGAGAGGACTCTTTAAAGTAGAGACACTACATACTGATATACACCAGAACATCAGCAGGAGAGGACTCTTTAAAGTAGAGACACTACATACTGATATACACCTGAACAACAGCAGGAGAGGACTCTTTAAAGTAGAGACACTACATACTGATATACACCTGAACATCAGCAGGAGAGGACTCTTTAAAGTAGAGACACTACATACTGATATACACCTGAACATCAGCAGGAGAGGACTCTTTAAAGTAGAGACACTACATACTGATATACACCTGAACATCAGCAGGAGAGGACTCTTTAAAAGTAGAGACACTACATATGATATACACCTGAACATCAGCAGGAGAGGACTCTTTAAAGTAGAGACACTACATACTGATATACACCTGAACATCAGCAGGAGAGGAACTCTTTAAAGTAGAGACACTACATACTGATATACACCTGAACATCAGCAGGAGAGGACTCTTTAAAGTAGAGACACGACATACTGATATACACCTGAACATCAGCAGGAGAGGACTCTTTAAAGTAGAGACACTACATACTGATATACACCTGAACATCAGCAGGAGAGGACTCTTTAAAAGTAGATACACTACATACTGATATACACCTGAACATCAGCAGGAGGGGACTCTTTAAAGTAGAGACACTACATATTGATATACACCTGAACCCCAGCAGGAGAGGACTCTTTAAAGTAGAGACACTACATACCTGATATACACCTGACCATCAGCAGGAGAGGACTCTTTAAGTAGAGACACTACATAATTGATATACACCTGAACATCAGCAGGAGAGGACTCTTTAAAGTAGAGACACTACATACTGATATACACCTGAAATCCAGCAGGAAAAGAGGACTCTTTAAAGTAGAGACACTACAATACTGATATACAAACCTGGAACATCAGCAGGAGAGGACTCTTTAAAGTAGGGAGACACTCTCACTCATACTTGATTATACATACACCTGAACATCAGCAGGAGAGGACTCTTTAAAGTAAGAGACACTGAATACACTGAACATCAGCAGGAGAGGACTCTTTAAAGTAGAGACACTACATACTGATATACACCTGAACATCAGCAGGAGAGGACTCTTTAAAGTAGAGACACTACATACCGATATACAACTGAACATCATCAGGAGAGGACTCTTTAAAGTAGAGACACGACATACTGATATACACCTGAACATCAGCAGGAGAGAACTCTTTAAAGTAGAGACACTATATACTGATATACACCTGAACATCAGCAGGAGAGGACTCTTTAAAGTAGAGACACTACATACTGATATACACCTGAACATCAGCAGGAGAGGACTCTTTAAAGTAGAGACACGACATACTGATATACACCTGAACATCAGCAGGAGAGGACTCTTTAAAGTAAAGACACTACATACTGATATACACTTGAACATCAGTAGGATAGGACTCTTTAAAGTAGAGACACGACATACTGATATACACCTGAACATCAGCAGGAGAGGACTCTTTAAAGTAGAGACACTACATACTGATATACACCTGAACATCAGCAGGAGAGGACTCTCTTTAAAGTATGAGACACTAACAATACGGATAGACACCTGAACATCAGCAGGAAGAGGACTCTTTAAAGTAGAGACACTGATATACACCTGAACATCAGCAGAGAGGACTCTT